CCTAGGTGTTCATCAAGGGATGAATGGATAAGGAAAATGTGGTATACATACACAATGGAGTTTTATTCAGCCATGAAGAAATTATGGGTAAGGCACCATAATAGTGGTGCAAAAAAAAAAATAGATAGAACATGAGATCATTATGTTAAGTGAAATAAGCCAAACTCAGAATGTCAAGGGTTGTTTGTTTTCTCTTACATGTGGACTCTAGAGAGGAAAAGGGAAAAGGTAGGTGGGGGGGTGAGGGATGGGGTAAACAGTTGAAAAGCAAAAGGAGATCAATAGAAGAGAGGAAAGGGACCAAGTAGTGGGAGGAGGGGAGAGAGAAGGGAAGTGCAGGGGAGTGCAATTGGCCCCATTATATTATAGTGTCACGTACTAATATGTAACAACAAATCCTACCATTATGTACAACTACAGCACATCAATTTTAAAATATGGATAAAAAAGCTTGTCTTCATCATATGTTTTGTATATAAGCTTTCAATGCTAAACTTAGGCTAATTTCCACAAATATGGAACATAAAATCATTTTTAAAAAGAATCCTTTGCCCTTAAATTTCGGACTGTAGTGATTCATTTGAAATCTTTAAGTAATTAAGATTAATAATTGTTACAAATATGTCAGTGGACATAGTGCGAGCCTTAGATTGCCCATCCCTTGCTCAACATTTTCACACAGTGAAAGGAAAAAGCCCTTGTTGGAGTTAACAAATGATTTTCTTTCACAATAGCCCTATAAACAGAGCCTTAGTGAAGTTGGCTTTCCTGTTTATGGCCATTAGTCCAAGTTACACAAACACAACCGAAACTGCTCTGTGGCTGACAGCAAGCACACTCGCTCACTGCCATAACTCAGGTGTGTTCATATCTCTGTCAATATCATACAGACTAAATACACAGCCCCATATGCAATATGTGTCATAAACAGTGACATAAACAAATGTATAAAGGATGGGTCCAAGTGTCAATGTACAAAATAAAGATCATGTGCTTGGTAAATGTGTGCATTTCATCCCTTACAAGTACAGTGTGCCTAAGCACAGCTACCTAACTCTAGGTGACATTGTTGATGCAGCCTTCCATTTCCATTTTATCATCATCTCTGTCAGATGTCTCACGTATTAGATCCCATAGATAAGTTACCATTCAAAACTAAAGCACAAAGTGTACCATGTTTCATTTGTAATTGCTTTTCAACAGAATAGCATTCGTTTGTATATTTTTCACGTTTCCTTTTTCCATGAACTTCTTTGACTTACGTTCATTTCCATCATCCCTTCATTCAACATTTTCTGAACACCTGCACTATTTCAGGTCCATTATAAACACTGAGCGTGCAGTTATGAAGAACACAGAATCTCTAAATCACAGAGCTCTCTGACGCAAAAAACCTTAATGTCTGAGCAGAAACAAATACATAAAACCTTTTTAAATAAATCTTGCCTCCAGAGAAACTATAGTGAATGTTTTGCACACAACAAACGAGATGCAGACTTTTAAAACATCCTACCTTATTGATACAAGCTACCATTCAAGTATCAACATTGGTGTTATATGTCTTACCAGAGAGAGAGAAAGAAAGAGATCACTACCACAAAACCAGATTTTGTTCTAAGACATGACCTTCTT